GCCCGCGGCGGCTTGGCCGCCCAACGGAGCCGCTCCTCGGGGCCCTCTTCCTCTTTAGCACCCGGCGTCTCCCAGTTGCCTTCATCCGCCGTCACCTGCAACGGCCCAGAACTTCTTACCCTGGAATTATGTCCGGTTAAATGGAAGCAAAGTAAGTTCTTCTAAGCGAAGGCGGAGATCAAACCCACCCGGCAGGGACTGCCTACAAAATTAATTTGAGAGTGAGTGGCTGTGAGCTATGAGACAACCAAATATTTTCACGGCTCTTCTCTAGGCTTTGCAAACGCTCCGTTGAGGGGAAGATAACATCGGGATTAATGCTCTCTCTCACACGTTCTCTTTGGCCTTGGTCCAGCTCTGTGTTATGAAGCATGCAAAGCACTGGAAATGTGGAAACTTAAGAAGGACCGGTCAAGGGATATTGCAGCCTCCGTGCACTGGCACGCTAATGGATGATGGAGCTTTTACACTCGTTGAACTCTGTAGGTACGAAGCTTGTAGGTGATTCCTGGCCAGGGGAGGAACACCTGCACCAGGCAAGCCCTTAGAAGTATTTGTTTGACAAACATACCCACAGTACATGAAGTAGTTTATGGCTCCTTTAACAATGTAAATTGAAACGGCAGGGAGGACTAAGTACAAAATGCACACTGTGTTGGTTCCCTGGAAGAACTGCAGATCAAAGAAGTACTGAGCAGCGCAGTGGTGAGGAACAAGTAGGCTGTCAGGGGAAGAACTAAGAGGAAATGGGGATCTGAAAATGCAGTGAAGGATAATAGGAACAAGAACAAACCACAGCACTAATGCAAAGTCATCACAGGACTGAATATTAGCTTGTTTCCACCTCTAGGGTCACTTGCTTCCGTTTGGGTATTTCTGCTGTGCTTGTCAGGGTTGTTAGTATTTTCAGTTTGTATTAAAGGAACTCTCGAAAGAGATGCTCATTCTGCTGGTAACTCTGCAAACACAGTCTATGGAGCTCTATCCATTTTGTTCATATGAACTCTGTAACTAGAAGACTGCTCAGTTCTGAGCCAGGCAGAACAGTTGGAGGCAGGTAAGAGTCAGGACATGAGATATCAAACCTGAATGGCATTTCACCTGTACACTTACTAGCTCAGATTTTCATGCCCAGGTATATAGTGTTTAAGTTGAAAAGCTTAGACTCTTAAAAGACCAGACTCATAGAGTGAAGGGTAGAAAAAGGGAAATAACATAAAAGAAAGATGAACAAAATTGCAAAATTGTGTTAAATCTGTGATTTTCTGGGAAAAAAAGCCTCTTTGGGAGGGACTTAATTTTGAGGGGATTAGCCACTAACAAAAAAATCACAAAATATTCTACTATGGAAAAGAGCCTGTATTCTCCACTTGTTCTTTAGTTTCTGTTGGAGTGGATGCAGGAAATAAGATTTTATTTTTATTTTAGTTTTACTTCTATATATAGTGGTGTTACGGTATTTTGTGCGATGTCTATATTTCTGTCATAATCAAAGGAGTGCTAGAGCTGTTATGAAGTAGAAACACAAAAACTGCCATGATGACTCATGCTATTAGTATTCCGATATCCTCTCCCTGACAGTAGCTTAGATCAGATGTTACAGAGGAAGGTGCAAGAAATCTTTATGTAACTGTGAGATAATGTCCTTGTATATTTTCTCTAGCACTAAACAGTTGAAGCTGGCTTATACCTAATAGATTAGCCTTTACTTATCTGTGTTACTTGTATACTAGGCATCAGTTCACCTTGTGCTAAGCATTGTCCAGACAAATAGAAACAGATGGTTCTTGTCCCAGAGATCTTACCTTTTCTCTATATATTAATATCCATTCTGTGTTTTCCTTTTATCTGACTTAATGTAAATGCAGGTGTTCTTATTATGTCTGTAAAAGTGTTATCCTGCTTTGAAATCTGCCAACCTGTAAGCCACAAAAATAATTCGTGGCAGTAAATTGCATAGGTTGGTTAAGCCCTGTGTAAAACAAGCATTTCTTTTCAAGGGTGTCATCTGGACACCGCTGTCATAGAAATACATTCCATTTCACAGTCTCTCTGTGATATTTTATTCATGCTGTACAGGAGAGAGTAAAGGACCGAGTCCTGCGTTAGCACACAGGAGACAGCTCTTACAACAAGTGCCCATTGCAACCCTTTGGGCTCTCTCTGAGAGAAAAAACTTAACTGTCTTACAGTCTCCTGCCTGGTCTCTTTGATGAATCAACAACACGCAATGAGGTACACTGTCAAACTGCTCATAGCATGGATGTTCACCCGTTGTATATCATCAAAGAATAGTGTTTTATCAACATGTCATCTCAGTGCTGTATGTCATGAAATCCTATATGCTATACGACAGTAATGTCTCTCTGATGGGTCAGTCTTTTGCTATTGTGTCAATTTGTAAGTAACTCACCTTATATACATTAATATACTTAAATTTCCTTGCCTAACACTTGTTGATTATTTTTCCTTGATGTAATCCCTCTACAAGGTTCAGTTTTGGTCACATCCTACTTCACATAGCAAATATTAGTTGTAGTGCCTCCTTGTCTGACGTTAGAATGGAAAGCCTGCAAAAAGTCCAGTTGTTTGGAGAAGGGAAATAGTAAGTTCCAGACCTTTGAATTTAGACCCCAACATGGCAATATTGACCCTCATTTCCAATAAAGGCTAACGCCTCTCCTTATACAGATTTTTGTTCACAAGGTTTCCCAGGTACTTGCCTCCAACCTATTGCCATGGTACTCCATCTTGTGAGGAATCCAGTAGTGTAGTTATGGTCTCTTTACCCAGATGTTTATTCAAGATCTTCTCTTAAGATCCTCTCTTGTGTTGCTTGTTGCCCACGCTATTAACTCTGATGAAATTCAGGATACTTTACTGCTACAGAATACTATGCTATAGGGTAGAAGGTTAGAAATGCTCCTCTCCTGCGTGTGCTCGGGATGAGGCTTCATCAAGTATTTAGAAGTACCTCTCATGTATCTTTACTGTCCATTGGTGGCAATCACACTAAAGCCATGCATGGAAGTACTGTGTTATCCCAGCTCTTGGTGCCAAAGGTGTGCTCTGCAGACTATGAGGGAGACAATAATCAAGACAAACAACGAGCTTCTGTAGCCCTGTATAACACAGCAGCCTGCCCTTCTCTAGGAAAGCTAAACACCAACAGAAT